GTGTGTGTGTGTGTGTGTGTGTGTGTGTGTGTGTGTGTGTGTGTGTGTGAGAGAGAGAGAGAGAGAGAGAGAGAGAGAGTATGCTACAGGTTCTGCTTGTGTCCAGTGACCTCAATAAATAATCCTCTTTATATTAATGACAATAACATTACTTCTTTAGCTTCAGAGATACTACATCTGGAAGCAAGCCATGGGGTTAGGAAGCTTTAGAAAGAGCCTGGTGAATGTTTGAAGGGATATTTGAAGAGGTATAGAGGGACATTGTGAAGACCAAGAGACTGTCAAGTCAAAGGGGGTTGATGGGCAAAGAAGACTAGAGGAACAATTAGGCCTTGTCAACACCCCTGTGGTAAAATCAACCTAATTTACACTACTTATACTTTACATGAATAACGTAACTTAAGTCAACATAGCTTAGGTTGACTTAATGCAGTCTCTACACTGTTCAGTGTCGATGGGAGAGCACTCTGCCATTGACTTAGCGGGTCTTCACAAGACCTGCTAAATCGACACCGCTGCGTCGATCACAGCAGTGCTGGTTTACCGGTAAGTGTAGACATGGACTTAGAAAGCTATGGAAGTAGGAAGAGTAGACCAAGGTCCATCAGAGATACATATTGATTAGAGTACCAACTTTGCAACAGAACCTAAAGAATTTTGTTCCACTATATAACCAGAGATAATGTATGTGAACACTTCTAATCAGATACTGTTCCTTAACTTTTTAAAATGTGTCCAAATTTCACAGTTTACATATAAAATCCAAAAAAATCCAATGTGTGCTACTGGGCAGGTTAATAATTACTCAATATTTTTTATGATTGTTATGGCTGCATAACATGCATTTAACTACAATGTCATGAATATTTCATCTGAGAAATTGGAATGGTTAATATGCTTTTAAACACTGCAACAAGGTGAAATAGACATTCATTGAGAAATGCATAGTCCCTGAATCAAGTAGGTAAATTATTGATAGACTCATTCAGCTTATTGGAATATTGAATTATATGCAGATAGTTGTATCTTTTTACTTTTTTTTTTGTTTTTATTTACTCTATTTTTGTCTTCACAAATCTGTATGAAATATCAATCTTATAGTTTTGTTTTTCAAAATGGTTCAAAATCATACATATTTACAAAATTCTTCATGAAAAGAAACAAAAAATGTGTACATTAGGTGTTGGGAAGAAGTATAATGTTCAGAAAGAAAGGCAAAAATATTTGTTGGTAAACTGAAATTGTTCAGTCCCCAGCAATGTGCTTTAGGCTGGATTTTGATCTCAGCTCCACAAGATAGATAATTACTTATATTCTGATCCCCATGACCCTGATCCTGCAAAAGGGTCCATGCAATGGGATCCATTAGTAGGGTTCCATATGGTCTTAAGTCAGTGGAGTTCCACATGGGCACAGGTTCTGTCTACATTGATGTCATAGCGAGTTTGAAGCCATAGAACCTAATCCTACAATTGCATAGATGGATGACTTAGCACATGTCCATTGTGGCTTCATGTGGGCACAAGCAGCCCACTTGGTTGATGTGAAATAAAAGGTCAGGAGAGCTTTAGACAGGTAAAGAAGTGGCGTGTTCTGAACTGGGGAGTCAGAATAAAGCACAAGGTAGGAATAAACATGTATGTAACTAAATAGCCCTATCTAAGATTAGGCTAAAAACACTGAACATAGTAAAAACAAAACTGCAAATGGGGTATTTTGCCCATAGCCAGATTGACACACATTTGCTTACCCAGTTACCTGGACCTCACACCACTAGTTCTTTTGAAATTTTCTTAATAATCTTTAATGAGGATCCATTTCCAGCTCTTTTGTATTAATGGAAATAGTATATAAATAGCAATTAATGTACTTACTATGACTGGATTACTTGAAATTCACATTGTCTCCGCTCTTCGCTATCAAGAAAATGTAGAGATACTTTTAATACACCCATTACTTTAGAACAGAGAATCTTTCCTAATTCATGTAATTAATATCTGCTCATCCCTGCTACTAAGCAAATATTTCTTTCAGTTTAGCTCGTGGGGCCTTTCTAATAGACATCTGTAGAAACTATTGCCATATGATACTGCTATAATTAATTAGATGTTTTTACATCAAAGTTTAAAATTATTCTCATTATCTGTGTGTTTCAGGGAGGGTCAACAATCACCAGAACAGTGGCAGAAAATGTACGGCCGATGCTCTGGTAATGAAGTGTATCACATTAATCTGGAGGACAGTACGTTTTTTGCTGAATATGAGGGAAAGAGCTTTACATATGCTTCTTTCCATGCACATAAAAAGTATGTTTATTATTAGAGGATTATAAGTTCAGATGAATCTTCATGTATGTTGAGTCCATAGAGTAAATATTGTACTGCATTGTTCTGTGTTGTCACTGCCACCTTATGTATTGCTTTTGCTTCTGGTTTTAAATAACTGCTGACCCTTGTAAACTGTATTGGACTTGTGTATTCTCCTGCCAGTTTTGAGTGTCAAAAGAAAACCCTTTTCGGTCTATATGTACCAGCCTAACCTTAAGGCAAAAGGAGATTAGTTCTATCTAGGCAGATATCAAGAATGGATATCACATTCAGGAGATCAACATCTTGATATGGAGTTATCAAAATTAAACATTCAATACATCCTTTGCCTAGCCGATACAATTTAAAGGCTTTTTTCTTGGATAGAATCTAAAGAATGCTTAAAATATCTTCTCTGTAGGAACTGGATCTTTCACATCTGTCAAAGGCTAAGTTTATATTTGATGAATCATGAGCAAAATTCACATGGCTACGATGTAGCTGTGGCAGTGCACAGAATGGCCTTCCATCTTGAATGGACCCTTGCAAATCTTCTTCCTTTGTCAAGAGGCAGTATGGGAGGATTTAAATTTCTTTAAATCCCTCAAAATTCCATCTTTCAACCTCATTTGTGGTCAGCATGGTGCTCTACTCCTTTCAACCGCAGCTCGATAAGTCTTCTATAAATGCGTACATTTCTCTTCATGACCCCATCATTGCAGTCATCTTGTTCTCAACTGGTGCAAAGTTGCAACTTGCCAGGATCTTAAATATCTCCTCATTTGTGACAAAATCCAAGCAATGGATGTTAAGAATATGCCATAACTTTTCACACTGAAAAGTGTTTAGTATCCTCTCCTCAGTTGTTTTTAAATGCCATGTTTCTGCTTCATATAACAGGGTTGTCATCACTACCACATTGAACACTCATATCTTAGTTGTCACGCAGACATCCCACCACTCAGAGTCCTTTGAAAATGCTGAAATGTCACTGACACAAGACCAAGCTGATGTGGAACTTCTTTGGTTGTTGAATCTCCTGCTGTAAACCAATTACCCAGATAGAACTATTCACTCATTCAGTGCCATTGCCATCTACATGCAGCATTGGCAGGTTAGTAGTTTGTTTTATAGGAGGCATGCATTGCTTTTGTTTTTTCACCCAAGTCTTAAGTCTCATAAATTCTACAGTTTATGACTCTTCCAGCATTAGCTGGTCAGTCATATCTCTCCCAGTAAAGCAATATCATCGTCATACTTGAGAGCCTCTAAAGATGAATTTTTAAATTTCACACCTCCTATGTTGACCTCAGTAAGCTTTGTCATCAGATAGTCTATTGGAACATTATTTAATGTACGTGAGAACGCATTCCTGGCAAATCAATGATTCTGTTGAAAACCTGTCTAATACAACCATTGACCCTTACACAGCTAGATGTAGCACAGTACAGTTACTCTGCTAAGCACCCCATGCTGATATAGCAGTGTTCGCAGTGCTGCAATAACGTTCCACAGATAATATATATATATAGCGTAGATCGGGGTGGCCAACCTGTGGCTCCACAGCCACATGCGGCTCTTCAGAAGTTAATATGCGGCTCCTTGTATAGGCACTGACTCCGGGGCTCGAGCTACAGGCGCCAACTTTCCAATGTGCCGGGGGGTGCTTAACCCCTGGCTCTGCCACAGGTCCTGCCCCCACTCCACCCATTCCCTCCCTCTCCCCTGAGCCTGCCATGCCCTTGCTCTTACTCCCTCCCCCCCCCAGAGCCTCCAGCACACCACGAAACAGCTGATCAGGAGGTGTGGGGAGGGAGGGGGAGGTGCTGATCGGCGGGGCTGCCGGTGGGTGGGAGGCGCTGGGAGCGGGGGCGGGGGCTGCTGACATATTACTGTGGCTCATTGGCAATGTACATTGGTAAGTTCTGGCCTCTTCTTAAGCTCAGGTTGGCTACCCCTGGCATAGATTGTAGATTGACCTGTATGGAAGTCGGAACGGTTGTCTCTCATTTTTGGTTTGAGACAATATTTCAGTTGGTTCAGTAGTATGATCATAAACACAGGGCCGGTGCAAGGAAGTTTCGCGCCCTAGGCGAAACTTCCACCTTGCCCCCCCCCAGCCCTGCGGCAGCTCCCTGCCCCCCCGTGCCCTGAGGCGCCCCCCCCCATGGTAGCTCCCCCCGCTGCCCTGAGGCGCCCCCCCCACGGCAGCTCCCCCCCCC